TAGCTAATATTATTTCCTGTTATGACCTGAGCTAGTGGGAGAATATAAATATTAAATAAGAGGGGTCCTAGGATTGAACCTTGGGGTACCCCACATGTGACCTTTGACCTCTTTGATGAGAAGTTTCCAATTGAAACAAAGAAATCCCTGTTCTTTATGTAAGATTCAAACCAGTCGAGCACCGAACCAGAGTCCAACCCAACTTTCAAGTCGATTCAGTAAAATGTCAAAAGCTGCACTCAGGTCCAACAGAACCAGCACTGTGGTTCTCCTATAGTCTGTATTTATATGGATATCATTGAATACTTTGACTAGGCCAGTCTCCGTGCTGTGGTGAGCACGAAAGAGTTTAAAGCAGTTGGTCATCATGAGGAAACTATTTAATTGTTTACACAGTTTTTTCAATAACTTTGCTGATGAATGGGAGGTCAGAGGTCAGCCTGTAATTCTGCAGTAGTGATTTGTCCAGATTGTTCTTTTTTAGCAGTGGTTTGATGACTGCTGTTTTCAAAGCCTGGGGGAAAACACCTGATATGAGTGATGAGTTACTATTTGGATCAGATCAGTAACAATAACAGGCAGGACTTTCTTAAAGAAATGTGTGGGAAGGACATCCAGACAGCAGGAGCTTGAACTTAATTGACTTATAATTTCTTCTAGAGTTTTATAATTAAGTAGTTGAAAATGGGTCATTTTTTCTGTATTTGTTTTGTTTTGGTACAGCAATGGTTCTGGCTTTGAAGTTGATGTGCAGATTAATCCTCTGATTTTTTGGATTTTCCCTGAAAAGAAATCAGAAAACGTATTACAGGCAACATTAGATTGAAATTCAGGTGGAAACGTCACAGGAGGGTTTGTGAGCCTGTCAACTGTTGCAAATAAAGTTCGAGCATTATTGATGTTTTTGTTTATGACATCTGCAAAGAAAGCCTCCCTTCCATGTTTTAGTGTTAAGTGATAGTTACGTAGTTTTTCTTTGTAGATGTCGTGATGAACGTGAAGTTGAGTTTTACGCCATTGTCGTTCTGCCCTGCGACAGAGTTGTCTTGCAGATCGAACTGTTTGTGCATTTTTCTGTGGAGATTTCTTCCTACCAGAAACAACCTTTCGTTTAATTGGGGCAATGGAATCAATGATATATGAAACTTCAGACTGAAAATCATCTACCAACTTATCTACATCATTACAGTTTAAGGGTGAGGAGGAAGAGTAGATTTGATTAAATGTTTCTGCTGTGTTTTCTGTGAAGGAACGTTTTGTGACAGTAGCTGTTTGTCCAAGTTGGTCAAAGAATAAACAACTTTCATAGATAACAGCAAAGTGATCCGACAGGGCGACATCAGTTACAGAGACATTGGAAATATTCACACCCTTACTGATAACCAGGTCCAGTGTGTGTCCTTGAGTGTGTGTTGCTTGTTTAACATGTTGTGTTAAACCAGTGCTTCTCAAATAGTGGGGCGGGCCCCCTTTGGGGGGCGCGGTGCGATACCTGGGGGGGCGCGTGTGATCCTGGGGAACAGGCTTTTTTTTTTTTGGCCGTACTAGTATAAAGTGTAATTGCGCACAGTAGGCGGCAGTGGCGCTCTCATTGTTACTTCTGTCACGTTTGCGACAGTGCAACATTTTACGACTTACAAGACAACAGGTTTGCCTTGGTTAGCAGTGTTAAGTCAACAAAAAGCTCCGTCTGCGTTCTGTCTATGGCCTCCGTTATTCAACAACCCCCAACATGAAAAAGTTTTTCACAGGGATGAAAAGAAAAGCGGAGAGAGACAAAGATAATGAGACAACAGAAAGTCAACCGAAAGCTAAGAAGAGGAAATACGACGAAGCGTATTTAGCGCTTGGCTTCACTGTGACTACAGTTGGAGAAGAGGAAAGACCGGTGTGTTTGCTGTGTCTAAAAATGCTCGCAGCGGACAGCATGAAGCCAAATAAATTAGCGCGTCACTTAAATACGTTACATCCCAATCACGCCGATAAGCCGCTAGAGTTTTTTCAGCGAAAACGTGCTGAATATTGCCAACAGTCATCCCGCTTTGTGAAGGCTACTTCAGTAAACCATCGAGCGCTGCTAGCATCATATAAGGTGGCGTACCAAATTACGCAGTGCAAAAAGCCCCACACCATAGCAGAGGAGCTGATACTGCCTGCAGCAGTAGACATGGATTTATTTATTTTTAATTTCAGGCATTGATGCACTTAAAATCTTTTCTGTTGCAGACTTAAAACACAATTTAATAAAGTTATTCTTTGTAAGTTTGACCATATGTCTTTCTTTTTTTCTTTAATGTTAATAAGGAAAAAATGTTATGCAGAGATGGATAGTCACGGTGGGGAGTGCGAATAGTTTTCTTGCTAGGGGGGCGTAACGGAAAATAATGAGAAGCACTGTGTTAAACCAAAATTTTCTAAAATATCAGAGAGCTATTTTGCTCCTCTGTTTTCGGTTTTGTCCACATGAATGTTGAAATCACCAACAATTATTAAACAATCATAATCAATGCATATGAGAGAAAGAAGATCATTCAAGTCAGTAAAGAAATTTTCCACATATGCTGGAGTTTTGTATAAAGTTAGTGTCAAAGTTCGTTTGAAGCCTTTAACCTGAATTCCAAGATACTCAAAAGATGTGAAATGACCGAAAGAGATTTTACTACAGTTTATGGTATTTTAAATATAGAAGCCACGCCTCTTCCTTTTTTATGTTTTCTATTCTCACTTAAAAAATTGTAGTCAGGAGGTGCTGATTCAATTAGTACAATTTGGTCATTATCGTCATTCAACCATGTTTCTGTCAGAAACATAACATCAACATTATACTCAGTGATGAAATTATTAATTAATAGAGCTTTAGCACAGAGTGATCTGATATTTAAAAGAGCTATTTTAAGTGACTTGGAGGCCAAAAGATTTTGCAATAATGCAAATAATAAACTAAGAAACTAAAGTAAATATAGAGGAATAAACATTCCAACACTTTCAGACAATAATTAATACAGGGGACTCTTGCAAGAACAAAGAGACACTGTTTTCAGGTAAAAGGTAAGATAATATTGTGCCATGTGTTTGTTGGGAACATATCTGGTACTAAGAAGAAATATATTTTACAGATCATAATAGTAAGAAAATTATCAGTTATTTGTGTTTTTAATTACATTTTATTTTATATGTTCAATTTTTTTGTTGTCAGTTTTAATGTCATGATGTGACTCCATGATATTTTCAATTTGACTCATTAGGATTAAAAAAAAAACAGCTTTGTTCTTGTTCTTCAGCACAATAACACTATTCATCAATATACTGATGAAAAATATCATTCACGGTTCTGTCCCATATTTCTGTGGCATGAAAAGGATCTGGAACCTTTTTTTGTTTGTTATTGGAAGCAGCTTACGTCTTCTTTGATGGGGGAGCGGTGAAGGATGGGGGTGCTGGCTAAAAAAAGGTTGAGAAACACTGACCTACAGCTTTGGCAAGCAGAGACTCTGCATCTCTGATTTATCTTTTATAGATAATTTTGAATGGAACTGTCTTACTGTGTGGTCAAATGGTGCAAGTCTTCCTGGGAATGTGATGAAGTGAATCAAAAGAGTGGGTGGAGGAGAAGAGTCTCTGGTAAAATTTTTTCAGTAGGGTTGAAGGAAGCTTCAGCCTTACTGAAGGTTGTGGAGATTTTGGAGGGTGTACACTTAACTCAGCAGCAGATGGACTGGATGGAGCCAGCTATGGAGGATAGACCAGAGTGAACAGAACTTGAGCAGAATGAGGAAACGACACTTACAGAATCCAGGCTTGGAGATCAGCGAGAACCTACACAAAGAAATACTTGAGGAAAGTAATATTCAATAAGAACCAACACTAGGAGAGACACTAGGGTGGCTCAGAGGGTTTCCCAGTGCATGATTAGCAATCAGACATCAAAGTGCTGGTAAGGACAGGTTTAATATGCGAGACATGAAAGGTGGGAGGAATCCAGAGGCTAGGAATAAGGCGGAGATGAACAGATGTGAGGCTGATGATGCGGTCCATTTTGGATGAACCTATGAATTTCAGAGACAGTTGTCTGGACATGGATTTTAGTGGAAAATCATGAGATGAGAGCCAGACCTTTTGAACAGGTGTGTACTGGGTTGCAGGAGTCCTTTTTGGTTGGCAAAAAGGTGGTTCTGCCCTGTGCCATAATTCAGGATATTTCCAGGAAAATACAACTGGAAAGGGGTATAAAAATAGTAGTTTCCTAACCAAAATGGGACACTTGATGGGTGTGCCTTGTGAAGAGATGGCATACCTCTCTCCATAGTTGTGTCATGTGCCTGTGGAAGATGAGACCAATAGTGTGACTTATATTTGAATGGGAGGAGAAGTTTGAGGTGTGAAAACAGTGAATGAGATGTGGTTGAACTGAGGTTGGGACATTGGTGCAGTTCGTAAGTCTGGTTCCGGGATCAGATTAATCTCAAATGGTTTGGCCTGCATTGTTTTCAATGTCCCATGAGAAGGCACCCATAGCACATGTGGGAACGATTGGCACTGGAATCTTTTCTGTGTCATCGATGGAGTACAAGAGACCATCTGGTTTTACAACCCCTCATGTCCAGGAGTAAGCAGTTACTCCTGGACAGTACGAAATGGGCAAGTTCCAAAGTGAGAAGAACAAGTACCTATGGAATTGATGTCAATTAAGTCTCTTGGCAGATTGTAAATAAAATCAGTTTTTATAATCTGTCTGAACCACCACAGGATGCAGAGCACCCTCCAACCAATAGCACCACTCCTCCAGAGACATCTTAATGGCCAAAATCTCATGACCCCCCAGATCATAGTTTTGTTCTGGAAGAGACCATCTGTCAGAGAAAAAAGTCCCAAGGATTAAGCTTTTGGTCTGTCTCAGAATATTGCGATAAAACAGCTCTGACTCTCATTTCAGAAACATCCCTCTCTCCACAAACTGCTTTTGGAAATCAGGCTGAATGACTGTGTGCTTGTTTTTCCAGGTGGGTGAAGACAGCTCCAACAGGAAGTTTTTGGTCAGCCGGCTATTTGATGTTGCTGAAGGATCCACATTGGAAGAATCATCCACCAGCTGCATCCGACTAGAGTGGAAGAAGGGGATAGTGGGGCATGTAGCTTCCACAGGACAGCTGCTCAATATCAAGAATGCATATGAGGTGAAGTCTGTGCTTTTTGTTTTGTAATGTGAGGTTATTTTAATCATGGTTTATGAGTTTGTGTCTGTGCTCTGATAGTTGGATTTGCTTTGGGGTCAATTAGTTGTTCTTGCTGACAGAGTAAAGGTCTTGACCACAGCTCACAGGAGACTAAACCAATGAAAGCTAAATCAGTTCAAAGGGCTCGTTTGAAGACTTTATCCTTATTATACACACAAATACACACACACTTATTTGCTGCTATAACGACCATTTTAGTAAAGTGTCATAAACATGGTCAAATTTCTCCAGCTACCAATTGGGAAAATAAAACTATTTACAATGGTGCTGTCCATCCATCACTCCATCCATCCGTCCTTGTGGTGTTGTAATTTTCTATTCTGTCTGTCTGACTAATGACTCTAACGAAAAAGGAAGAATTCAAAAAAATACATCCATCGGTCCATCCATTCATTGTCCATTTATCCATCTTATTGTCTATTCGTTTAACATCCATCCATCTATCAATCCATCCTTTTATTGCATGACCATCCATTCCACCATTCATCATCCATCCATTGTCTGTCTATACAGCTGTCTTTTCTGTCCATCCATTCTTGGACAGGATGGACAGACAATGGGTGGACAGGCAGGATGTCTGATAGGAGTCGAAATCCAATGCAGACTCAAATATAACTCCTAGATTTTTTACGTCTAGTTTATTTACTTTGGATCAACATTGTTAGCATTTTCTTCTTTTGCTCTTTCCTTTGGTTTGTTATTTTATTTGTATTTCTTTTTAATTCCTGTGAAGCACTTTGTATTGCTTTGTTATTGAAAATGTGCTATATAAGTAATATTACCTTTACCTTTTTAACTTTACATTGGATTTGCTTCCATGGCAAAAAAAGTCACTGTCTAAATTTAGAATGCAAGTGACATGAACTATTATTAAGGTATCTGTCTGATTTGTGTTTAAAACATATAAAGAATGAACTAAGTTTAAGCATATCAATCCTGGCCAAAGCTAGACTTATTCTAAATAGTATGTCTAGAATAGGTATAGAATATTTTATATTCTATACAACTCTCTGATTTTTCCATATTTAACATATTGTTCAGAAGTGTGGGGAATTAATTAAAAAAGCTCTTTACATCCTCTAAGTATCCTACAGAAATCCGCCTGTCGATCTCCCGCTCCCTCCTTCCATCTTTCATGAACAAGATCCCGAGATACTTGAACTCCTCCACTTGGGGAGACCGAGGCCTTGGACTTGGAGACACTGATCCTCATCCCGGTTGCTTCACACTCTACTGCGAACCGCTCCAGCGAGAGCCGCAGATCACGACCTGCAATAGGACTACATCATCCGCAAAAAGTAGAGTTGCGATCCTAAGGCCACCAAATCGGATCCCTTCAACATCTTGGCTGCGCCTAGAAATTCTGTCCATGAAAGTAATGAACAGAATCGATGACAAAGGGCAGCCCTGGCGGAGTCCAAGTCTCACCAGAAACGAGGCCAAAATACTGCTGGCAATGAGGACCAGAGTCCGACTCCGGTCATACAGGGACCTGACAACCCGTATCAGAGGGCCCGGTAGCCCATTAGCAAAAAAATTGCTAAAAAAAAAAAAAAAAAGAGAAATAGAATTAAAGTGTGCCTCACCAACACACTTTAGGAGAAAAAGTTCACACTGATTTTGAGTTAATGGAGCACATGATCTGGAAGCTATTAAAGAAAATATTATATTATGTAATATTAAAAATATTTGGAATATTGAATATGACTTAAAAATTCAGTAGAGGATAGTGTGTCATGTAATAAAATGTTTTTGTGCCATTTGATCACAAGGCAAGGCATTTATTTCATTTGTTTGTCTGGAGTGTTTGGTTTGGACATTTGTTGACAGTCCCTAAGTGAATCTCCGAGCGCTTGAGGAGGGAGCAGGAGGGAGGGTAGATCCCTGAAGAAAATACAAGGTAGAGATCTAAGCACTTTGAAAACACTAATATTTTATATAAATACTTTGATCAGATACGACAAACTTCAAAACTTATGAATAGCGAAGAAAACAGGCAACAGCAACATGGACCAACGATATTGATATTAATATTAGGTGTATTTAAAGTAACTTGTGGGTTACAAATGGTCGCAATTGCCATTTTAAATGATTCAGACAGGTTTCTGACATTGGCCATATGAGCAACCACCCGGGGCATTGTCTTGATTTTGGCGACATGAGACTTCCACAGATTGTGTCACATAGATTGAAGCAAAACAGAACAAAGAAGAGCTTAAATTGACAATTATTTATTTTAGCTCTAGGCATTAATATCTAGATGTTTTTATGAGAATGTGGATCTTTCAGATCAGTTTTAGAAGCAGTTTTTAATCATATTTCACATGTTATTGTCATGCAGCGTGGATCCCTGGTCTTGGTCTTGACTTGGTCTCGGGTTTGGTGGTCTTGACTACTCCACTGCTTGTAGTTAAGGATGTATCAGATACAAGCTGGAGTGTAATGTTTTGATAAATGTGATGTATGCCATTTCTTACCATCAGCCAACAAATAAGTACACAGACCTACTGTATTTTCTTCTGAACAGTCACTGGTTGAGAGTTGTGTGGATGTGCTTTTGGCACTTGAGTAGGCTTCCTTACAGTTTTTTCCCTTCCTCTAAAAGCAGAGTGCATGCATCCCAACTTGAGTCTGTGTAGGAAACCTGCTTGGACAACCAAGCAGGTTTCAACCTGCTTGGTTGAAACTGTGGTGGAATCAGTGAGTGTGGGTCGCTGAAGTGCTTGTAGAAGCTAGGTGACGTCTGGATCTGATACTAATGCATTATTCAGCTGTTTGCTGCTCTTGTATAAGCTCTGCTTACTGTCTGTTGACATTTAAAGTTCGCACACAGCACATAAGAAGTCAAAAAATTAAACAAACAGACCATTCGTTTTGCTGCTGTGCTGAAGTGTAACCTTCGTTCTGCAGCTTCTGAACAGTTTGTTTAAGTCGGGGGTGCCAAAAGGAGGTCTCTGCAGCTGTGCTTTGAGTTGGAGATGGAACCAGTTCCATTTTTAACCCAGGAACAGTCCTACACAGAAGTATTCATACCATCTGAACATTTTGTCACATTAGCGCTATTAACATGGATGGGTTGTATTGAGATTTAATGATTGGCAATAGCTGTGCACCTATTGCCAATCACTGATTTTTAAAATACTTGAACTTCACCAATATTCACCAAAATATATTATGCTGAGAGGTATATTCCAAAATATTCTTAGTTGGCAAGGCAGCCAAATGTGGTGGAAACATGCATTGCTCCAGCAATGCTGAGGGAAGATACATTGCAGACTTTTCAGACCTTCATTTACAAAAAAAAAACTAATTGTGAACAATGCATATTTTTTCACTTCATCAATATACACTACTTGCAGTTGGTCTGTCACATGAAATCCACATAAAAGAGTACAGAGTAGGGGTGAGTGATATGGAGTTAAAGTTTTATCTCAATATTTTGTGATACTATTGTGATGAAATTAAAAGTGGCAATAAGAACTAGTCGCTACTGATTTTTAGGTAACTTTACTGCTGACATAGCAATAAGCCCCACAAACAGAAACACTGCTCTTGAAAAACATTCCCACGTGATTCTTTAGGACACCAGGCATATAAAGAAATGTGATTTATATCACTAAGCTCTGCACAATAACAGCATTAATCATACTTGTGTATTTATTGATACTCTGACTGAACTAACAGTTGAGAAAATCGTAACAATAAAAATCCTGACAATATGGGCAGTTTTGTTTTGTTCAAACATCGTAATAAAAAATGTATTGTGACAACAAATAAAAAAATTTATCAGAATGAATTATAAACAATGCGATCAATGTCCAAATGTAGTTCAAGGGACATGAACACTTTCCATACCCCGTACTTAGCAGCTAATTGGTCATATTTTGCACCCTATCATTTTGTGAAAGAGTGTTATGTTTGGGACCAAAGTAACCTCACTTCATACTAACAAGATGATTTGTGGAACTTCTGCCTCCCTAGGACCCAAGATTCAACGCAGAAATTGACCTGATCACAGGCTACAAAACCCACAGTATCCTTTGTCTACCCATCAAGAACCACAGAGGAGAGGTGAGGTGGCATATCTGTACACTCAATGCTTTCTCTGACTGATGAACTAGAAATCAGATGTGCCACAATTTCAGCAATGTAGGTGTGGATTTTAAGGTGAATAATGTGGAGGTAGTCCTTCTCCTTTATAATTATCAGTGACCAATGATTGGAGCAGGAGCACCTTTGTGGCTCTGCATCAATGTAGTCTATGCAGATATAATACTGGGTTCCCATTCCAGGATTTCCCCCAGAAAACTTGTTAAGTCTGGTGGTTGGCACGCCGAGGCAGTCCAATGGCAGTCCACTGTGTTTTTGTATTAAAAGATAGGAACTTTTAATACAAATAGGAAAAGACAGGAACTTGGGTAATTATATGTTACAGGAAAACATTGCCAGTGAGATACTATTTAATCCCACAACTAGTCTTAAAAACAACAAATAAAAAATACAATTAAAATGAATATTCATTATTTGAACTTCTGTTTCATCCAAATTAAGTCAGCGGCTCCATGACGGGCTCAGGGGCCCCATAAAGGCAAATTTTATTTTATTTTTTGTAATTTTTTTCTCTGGGGATTTTTGTTGGCTCTAGTGGCCCGTATTTTTTTTTATAGTAGGCTAAGAGGAAAGAGGGGATGGAGAGAGAGGGGGAAGACATGCGGCAAGTGTCGCCAGGGTTGGGAGTCGAACCCCTGACGGGTGTGTTGAGGGCTAAGGCCTCCATACATGGGCCATGCTAACGCCCCACTCTCTCCCCAGTCTTGACTGGTCCGTAGACGACTGGACGAGGTCATCAAATCAGTCTACGTTGCCTGCAGGGATTTCCAATGTCCAGCAGGTGTCAGTATTCAGTGACAGTATCGACACAGTATCAATAGAGTTTTGCTATGGGTCGAAGCGCTTCGTGACGCTTCATTTACCCGTCACTAGTCTGCGGGGTGATTTCATTCTCACTGAAAAAGAGAACGGGGTCAAATTGGCAGATTAACTCCAAACAGGTCAGGTTTGATTATTCTTAAGGTGATCCAGGTGTGTAGATAATCACACTGTTGGCAGCTGCGCAAAGGTGTGCCACATAAATATGTGACTAATGGAGAACATCGCGAACAGAAGGATCAGAGACCATATTGATATGCTGGAAAATATTTATGATGGTTTATTAACATTTAGATTCCACCTGAGAGATCATCCTAGAGTTCTGCGCAGAACTTAAAACAGGAGCTGTTTGAAGTGGAATTGAAATAATACATTTTCTTTAAAATGTATTATTTTTGTGCTGTCACCTTATGTGACCTGCTGGCACATATTGAATAAAAAATACAATTATCATTACAGCTACTTAAACTACTCCAAACAAGGCACTGTTTCCATAGTTATTGCTTGACATGGCAGCAGACATCCGGGTATTTATTCTAATTTATAGATGTATTTATGGGTGGCGACAGGGCAGCTGAGCTCCATTTCCTGCATATTAGGATGTGTATAGGAAAGGTGTGTGGCCACATGCATGCACTGTTTTATACATCAGAATTTTTTGTGTACTGCACTTTTCAAAATTTTTTCCATACACCAATTTTTAGTGTGAAAGTTCTGCACTCTTTTACACATGAGGCTCCACATCTTTTGTTCAGCATTCAGCGTCTCAAAGCCCTTACACCCTTCTCTTCTCACACTACCTACTGGTTCCTCCCATTATGCCCTGTTGTTTCCAGTTTTTCCCTGTGTCCCTTGCTGGCATTTTCCTTGGATTTTGGGTTTTTGGTCTGCTCTGTCTCCCTGTGTTTTTTTATTTTTTATTTTTTACATTTTAAATTTTTTAATTTTCTACATAATCCATGCTCCCAGCTCCTGTCTGCATTTTGGTACATCCTCAAACTCGTGTTGACATGCTGTTCTGAAATGGTTTTTGATGATATAAAGCTGCTCTAAGTGAATTACTTTGTTTTTGCTTCATTATTATTCCTACGTATTGCAGGTTGTTGGAGTTGTTCAAGCTATTAACAAGAAATGTGGAGAGAATGGTGCCTTCACTGAACAGGATGAGAAGGTTGGTCAGTTTGACAGTGTAACATCTGCTATCGGCCAGTGGTTTTCTTCCCTGTTTTACTGTTGCTTTTGATAGTCCTCATTGATAGTCTGGGAAAACCCAGCCTTTTATTCTACACTTTGCTTCATCCAGAGGGTGTAGATCCTTGGCTATCGAGAAGTAATTGCTTGTACTCTGTTGAAGTTTGAAATGACTGGATCTGATTTGATCCAATCGCTAACATTTGGCTGAGGCATTTGTAAGGTGCTAGTTTGAAGCTGTGAACCATTCCATAAACAACCATCCTCCACTGTGAGGAGAGACAACAACCAACAACAACCAACTGAGCCGAACAACCAACATGTCTGTCTGAAATAAAATACCTTAAACATTCCTCTTGTTTCAACTTATTAATTTATTTATTTAACCAGGAAAAAACCCCATTGAGATCCTGATCTTATTTTCAAGAGGGACCTGAGCAGACATCTACATTGCATAACAAGTTTAATTGTTCAATATTTAGAAGCGTGGCCAACACTGATTGAATCCCTTTGTTCATTTTATCCACTGTCATTGTCACAATACATACAGCCTTGTATACAGACCCCAATTTTAAAACAGCACATTTTCAAACAAGTCCTCCTTCTGTTTGCTAATTGGTTTGGTTGAAATCCACTGGAAAAATTAAGCTCACTGGGAGAAATCCCAGAGAGAGCACTGAAGGGAGATGAGAATTGAGCAGAATTACATATGTACAATTGCCAGGCTAATTCATCCATGAATAAAGCAGCATTTGGGTCTCTTAGCATGTTCTGTTTAGCCTTGTCTACAGAACCCTGGGATATGTTTGCTTTCCAACAGGATTTCTCAGCCTATCTAGCCTTTTCAGGCATAGTTCTGCACAATGCACAGCTGTACGAGACCTCGCAGTTGGAAAACAGACGCAATCAGGTAAGAGTGGATGTCTACGCAGAATCACGTACATGCAGGTGTAGCTTAGTGTGTGATGTGCTGAACGTGCAGGTGCTGTTGGATCTGGCCAGACTGATCTTTGAGGAGCAGCAGTGTTTGGAGGTTGTGCTGCGGAAGATTGCCGGAACCATCCTGTCCTTCATGCAGGCTCAGGCCTGCACTGTTTTCATTGCTGATGACGACTCACTGGTCAGTGCACATACACACATAGACACACACTGATCAACCACTTGTATGATGCCTTGCAAAAGCATTCACACCCTGTGTAATATTATCATATTATAATGGTGACAAGAAAAGTAAATGCTGCTTCATTTCAATTTTTAATTATTTTTCACAAAAAATAGCTGTTTGTTGTTAAATCCAGCTATTCCATGAAGGCCTCAGAGGTTATTAAAGAATATTAAAGAACCCACTGCCCCCAAAAGACCAGTTAGAAGTTTAAAGCAGTTGGGGTTGGGTTCTGGTCAAATTGGAGCAAACTTAAATTTTCTGAGCTCCTTGCAATCTGACACACTATATCCATGGTGAAACATAATGGTGGCAGTATCTTGCTGTGGGTATGATTTTCTTCAGCAGAAACAGGTACATTGGTCAGAGTTTATGGAGCTAAATCCAGTCAAAGAAAATGTGTCGGAGGCTGCATGAGATCTGAGACTGCATTAGACTCTCACCATCCACCAGGACAATCACTGTGAACATACAAATAGCAGTGCACTGGAGTGGTTTAGATAAAAGTAGATTAATGTCTTAGAATGGCCTAATCAAAGTCCAAGCCTAAATTCAATTGAGGACATGTGGCAAAACTTTAAAATGTATGTTCACAGACCCTATTTATCCAATCTGATGGAGTTTGAGTGAGTTATTGAAGAATGAGAAGAAATTTCAGCCTGTGAATTTTCGCAGGCATAGTTCTGCATAATGTACAACTGTATGTTTATGATTTTGGCTTAAAATTATAAACAGCATCAACGATACTAAATATGTTTTAAAAAGATGTTTTGGTCTGCGTACACCAAAACATCTTTTTAAAACATATTTTCATGCAACAAAGCCAACTGTGATGAACAACAACACAGGACCAGTTCACTAATGATACGAAGGGACAGCTGAGTCTATTCCAGCACAACATGCACACACAAGTAACAAGAGCTCCTTTCTGGTTTTCCTATTTCTGACCCATCTGAACAGTTGCCACTCTGGTATGTGTGCATGTTTGATCACATGTGACTGAAAGATCCCTTCTTACATTTCAACATTTTTGATTGAAAAGTTGGTAGAATCTATCGGTGGGCATTGTGGACTTAAAATTTTATTTCAATGTTTTGTGGTACTATTGTCATAATAATAAAAATATGGTAAGCTATTCTTTTTTAGATTACCCTATGGTTGTGATTGTATGGCAAAGCATTTATAGCACCACAAACATTGATCTTTAAAACCATTTTTATTTGAAAAGGATGCTACCTACTTAAAGAAAGTGATTTATATCTGATTGCATTGTAATGCAATCAGAAAATTACATTACAATGTCACTAGGTGACTCAGAACCCATCCAATCACTGAACAACAGATAAATATGTTCTGTGTTATCAGATTTCCAGCTGTAACAGCTGAACAGAAAAAAACACTTATGTTATTATCTGTGTACCTAAAGAGGAATGATCTAGAGCAACGGTGAGCAATTCCAGGCTTTAAGGGCCCGTCTCCTGCAACTTTTACATATGTGTCCACTTCAACTCACCTAAGTCAAATAATGGGGTCATTAGCCGGACTGCAGAGAACTTGACTGCACTTAGAAGGTGATTCAGCTATTTGATTCAGGTGTGTTGGACCAGGGAGACATCCAAGAGTTGCAGGACACCTGCCCTCGAAGACCAGGATTGCCCACGCCTAATCTAGAGCAAGTCCTCAAGAGGTACCATCCTACAACTTTAGATGCATCCTTACTCCCACAGACTGTAATCAAATGGCTGAATTCCCTTACAAGCAGCCATTCAGCTCTGAACAAGTGTTCAGGTAGCAAACCATTCATTTGATTCAGGTGAAGATGATAAGAAACAAAGACATACTTTATTTTAACTGCCAGCTGCAATAGTCTGCTCTCGGCTCCCATACAGAGCTGTCGGCTTGTGATGATGCTTAGCCGCTTCCTCCAGTTTCAAACTCTTCTTATTAAAGTAAAAGTTAGACAACTAAATATAATTGAAATACTGGCTGCCTTCGACAGACAAAGGAGCTAAGTCTAAGAAAGCAAAGTTGCCAGTTTTGCTAGTTTTGATTTACAAGGCATAAGGTGGCAGTTTATTATTATTCAGCCAAAGTAATGGAATAACCTGCTGTAGGCTTATTTTTATTGTCAATGTGGGTCTTCTTATTGAGCTGTGAAAGTAAATCAAATGTGTTACATATCTTTTGCTTTAGGTATTTACTTACTGGAGGGTTTTTTTGTTTGTGCTGCAGAGCCATAGCTAACAGTTAGCTCATCACTTCAGTGGCTCTAAAGGAGCCTTTGGTGTAGAGAGACCAAAGTGTTGCTCCTCCTACACTTTGGACTGAACCATTGTTCTAATAATGGTAGGGGGGACCTAAAAATGTATTGCTTTTTCTTAGCTGAATGGCAGATTTACTTCATTCTTTGTTTCTATTGTCTCTTTTATATTGATAGTTAAATGCAAGGGTTTCTTTCACAATTTCTATGGGAGAACAATTCTAGACTTTTCCAAGATTGGGGGGTGTGGACCCCCTCTCTTGCTAAAATCTGCCCTTTGTCAATAAACACTGGACCCTGGGACAGATTGTGCAGGATCATTTTTAATAAAATTAGTCCATCTGAGGGAATTGAAATACAGTCAGTAGCCTCAGATGCTCAACAAATCACCTCCATGATGAGATTGATCATCGCACATGATAGACGACAGGCGGGCAGCGCTGAACTCACTGCTAAATATGAACATCCATTTTTCTACTGTAATGTAAGTAAAGATTGTTGCAAGAGCAAACAGTGAAATTTATTCCTGGCAGCATCTTTATTTCATAGTTTTATTTTCTTCAAATGACACTGTGTGCACAATTCTAATTTAGTTTTGATCATATCATCATTTCTGTGCATTTTTCCAACTCCAAGCTGCTTAAACTTGAATGCTTGTTGAATATGAACACATTATCTGATGTGTATTTGTTTAATGATGGGGTAAGAAGATCAAACACACTATATCAAGATGTGTATAATCATTAGGCAGCTTCAGGCAAAATGGGCCAAAAAAGAGATTTAAGTGACTCTGAAAAATCCAAAATGTAAAAAGTCTTTCTGAGGGAAGCAGCACTTTTGAAATTGCTGAGATATTGGGGCATGATCACACAACCATCAATCGTTTTGCTGCAAGTCGCTAACAGGGTCGCAAGAAAAAGGCGTAAATTAACTGCCAAAGATTTGAAAAGAACCAAACATGAAGCTACAGGAAGCCATCATCTTCCAGTGCTGTCATTTTCCAGAACTGCAACCTTCCTGCAGTGCCCAGGAGTGCAAGATGTTCAGAGACATGGCCAAGATGAGGAACTGAAATCCGATTGCCATCGAACAAGACACACAAGTTGGAACATCAAGACTGGGCCAAGACAGATCTGAAGACAGATTTTTTAAAAGGTTTTATGGACTGATGAGACGAGAGTGACTCTTGACGGACCAGATGGATGGACATGTGGCTGGATCAGTAATAGGCACAGGCTCCACTTCACATCAGACACGAGCAAGGTGGAGGCAGGGCGCTGGTATGGGCTGGGACTGTTAAAGATGAGCTAGTTGGACCTTTTCAGCTTGAAGTTGGACTCAAAATCAAGTCCTAAACCTACTGCCAGTTTTTAGAAGACACTTTCTTCAAGCTGTGGTCCAGGAAAACGTCTGCATCTTTCAAGAAGACCATGATTTTTCTGCAGGACAATCCTCCATTGCATGCATCAAAGTACTCCACTATGAAAGGCCTTACAGATGAAAGAATAATGAAGTGGTCCCCTTCCTCACCAGACCTAGCACCCATTGACAACCTGTGGGTCTTTCTTAATCAGGAGATTTATGGAGAAGGAAAACGCTTCACATCTCTGATGAGTGTCTGGGAGGCTGTGGCTGTTGCTGCACAAAGGTCAACAGATGGAAACGTGGTCTTTATGACCTCCAAAAGCTGGAGCTACAGTTTGGATCAAAGCACCTTTTTTATTACCATGGCCTAGTCCAGACATAAATCTAATGGAGAATCTCTTGTTAGACCTTAGCTTAATCATATCATCATATAAAATGGAAATAAATATGTGTCTATACAGCACTTTCTCTTAGTGTTTAGGTTTGGCCTTCCTTGCATTGTTTCAAGCATGTCCAGTACCTTACAAAAGGATTGGATCGCTTGAACTTCACAACCTTTTGCCGCTTTTCAGGCTTCAACCATAAACATCTAAAATTTTTATTATCTTGTGAAGAATCAACAACAAGTGGAACACAGTCGTGGGGTGGATCGAAATTTATTGGACATGTTAAAGTTTTTTAACAAAAAACTGCAAAGTGGGGCATGGAATAATATTGGGCCCCTTTATTCCAGTGCAGCAAACTCTCTTAAGAAGATCAGTTGGGATCTCTGAATGATTCAATGTTGTCCTAAAAGACTGATGATGATAAACTGAATCCACCTGTGTGTAATAAAGACCCCAATAAATGCACCTACTCTGTGATCAAACTCAGGTTGTGTGTCAAGCACAGAGATCATGATGACCAGGGAACATGTCAGGCAGATCCAAGATGCTGTTGTGGAGAAGTTTAAAGCAGGATTTGGATACAAAAAGATTTTCCAAGATTTAAACATCTCAAGAAGTACTGAACACGTGATCATATTGAAATGGAAGGAGTATCAGACCACTGCAAATCTTCCAAGACCAAGATGTCCTGTTTAACGTTCATCTGGAACAAGGAGAAGTCTGATCAGAGATGCAGCCAAGAGGCCCATGATCACTCTGGATCTACAGACAGCTGAGGTGGGAGAGTCTGTCCATGGGACAACAATCAGTGGTACACTGCACAAATCGGGCCTTTATGGAAGAGTGGCAAGAAGAAAGACATTCCTCAAAGATATCCATAAAAAGTCTGGTTTAAAGTTTGCCACAAGCCACCTGAGACACCAAACATGGAAGAAGTTGCTCTGGTC